CACAGGGGTGCATTCAGTGGGGATAGGGTTTTGGGGTGCAATCATAGGGGTGCATTCAGTGGGGATGAAATTTTGGGGTGCATTTGTGCAGCTGCAGTCAGCAGGGGTGAAGTTTTGGGGTGCAAGCATGGGGGTGCAGTGACCTGGAATGACATTTTGGGGTGCAATCACGGGGGTGCATTCAGTGGGGATGGGGTTTTGGGGTGCATTTGTGGGGCTGCAGTTAGCAGGGGAGTTTTAGGGTGCAAGTTTTAGGGCACAAGCATGGGGGTGCAATCATCGGGGATGAGGTTTTGGGGTGCAATCACAGGGGTGCATTCAGTGGGGATGAGATTTTGGGGTGCATTCGTGCAGCTGCATTCAGCAGGGGTGAAGTTTTAGGGTGCAGGCATGGGGGTGCAGTCAACTGGGATGAGGTTTTGGGGTGCAATCATGGGGATGCATTCAATGGGGATGGGGTTTTGGGGTGCATTCGTGGGGGCTGCAATCGGCAGGGGTGAAGTTTTAGGGTGTAAGCATGGGGGTGCAGTCACCGGGGATGGGGTTTTGGGGTGCAATTACGGGGGTGCATTCAGTGGGGAGGGGGTTTTGGGGTGCATTCGTGGGGCTGTAGTCAGCAGGGATGAGGTTTTAGGGTGCAAGCATGGGGGTGCAGTCACCTGGGATGAGATTTTGGGGGGCATTCATGGGGGTGCAATCAGCAGGGGTGAAGTGTGGGGGCACAAGCATGGGGTTGCAGTCACCTGGGGTGAGGTTTTGGGGTGCAATCATGGGGGTGTAGTCACCTGGGATGAGGTTTTGGGGTGCAATCACGGGGGTGCATTCAGTGGGGATGGGGTTTTGGGGTGCAATCATGGGGGTGCGGTCACCAGGACGAAGTTTAGGGTGCATTCCTGGGGGTGCAATCAGCAAGGGTGAAGTTTTGGGGTGCAATCACAGGGGTGAACACAGCAGGGGTGGTGTATGGGGGCGCAGTCACCAGGGATGAGGTTATGGGGTGCAATCACGGGGGTGCACACAGCAGGGGTGGTGTATGGGGGCGCAGTCACCAGGGATGAGGTTATGGGGTGCAATCATGGGGGTGCACACAGCAGGGTTGAAGTATTGGGTTGCACTCAAGGGGGTGCACACAGGAGGATGGTGTTTTGGGGTGCATGCACTGGGGGACATGTTTTGGGGTGCATTCAGGAGGGTGCATTCAACAGGGGTGAAGTATTGAGGTGCATCCCCCAGGGGTGGTGTTTTGGGGTGCAGCCAGGAGGTGCATTCACCAGGGGTGGGGAATTGGGGTGTATTCCCCAGGGATGGCATTTTGGGGTGCATCCAGGGGGTGCATTCCCTGGGGATGGGGAATTGGGGTGCATCCAGAGGGGTGCATTCACAAGGGCTGGGATATTGGGGTGCATTCCCTGGGGATGGCATTTTGGGGTGCATCCAGATGGGGCATTCCCTGGGGATGGGATTTTGGGGTACATCCAGGGGGGCATTCACTGGGGATGAAGAATTGGGGTGCATCCAGGGGTGTGCATTCCGTGGGGATGGGGAATTGGGGTGCATTCCCCGGGGATGGCATTTTGGGGGGCATTCAGGGGGGGCATTCCCTGAGGATGGGATTGTGGGGTGCATCGGGGGGTGGCATCCACTGAGGATGGAGAATTGAGGTGCATCCAGAGAGGTGCATACACTGTGGCTGCCTGTGCATCTGCTCGGGGAGAGCACTTGATAAAACCTGCCTATAAATACAAAGGCCAGAGGGGAACATGCCCTGAGAATGAAACGAAACAAAAAGGGGGAAGGCTCTGGGTGCAGGAGAGGAACAGGCAGAGGCAGCGCTGAGGAGCAGAACTGGCAGAGCAGGGATGGGATGGGATGGGATGGGATGGGATGGGATGGGATGGGATGGGATGGGATGGGATGAGATGGGATGCATGGGATGGGGTGGAGAAAGGATGGCATGGCATGGCATGGCATGGCATGGCATGGCATGGCATGGCATGGCATGAAAAAAGAATGGGATGGCATGGGTCAGAGAAAGGATGCATTCAGGGGAGGCATTCCCTGGGGATGGAGAATTAGGGTACATCCATGGGAGGGGGCTGCATCCCTGGGGATGGGATTTTGGGGTACATCCAGGGGGGCATTCACTGGGGATGAAGAATTGGGGTGCATCCAGGGGTGTGCATTCCGTGGGGATGGGGAATTGGGGTGCATTCCCTGGGGATGGCATTTTGGGGTGCACCCAGGGGGGTGCATACAGAAGGGCTGGGAGATTGGGGTGCATTCCCTGGGGACCGAATTTTGGGGTGCAGCCTGGGGGGGCATTCCCTGGGGATGAAGAATTGGGGGGCATTCCCTGGGGATGGCATTTTGGGGTGCAGCCAGGGGGTACATGCCATGGGGATGGGATTTTAGGGTGCATCCAGGGGGGTGCATTCACAAGGGGTGGAAGATTGGGGTGCATTCCCTGCGGATGGTATTTTGGGGTGCATCCAGGTGGGGCATTCCCTGGGCACAGAATTTTGGGGTACATCCAGGGGGGCATTCACTGGGCACAGAATTTTGGGGTGCATCCAGGGAGGGCATTCACTGGGGATGGAGAATTGGGGGGCATTCCCCAGGGATGGGATTTTGGGGTGCATCGTACATCCAGGGGGGCATTCACTGGGGATGAAGAATTGGGGTGCATCCAGGGGTGTGCATTCCGTGGGGATGGGGAATTGGGGTGCATTCCCTGGGGATGGCATTTTGGGGTGCACCCAGGGGGGTGCATACAGAAGGGCTGGGAGATTGGGGTGCATTCCCTGGGGACCGAATTTTGGGGTGCATTCAGGGGAGGCATTCCCTGGGGATGGAGAATTAGGGTACATCCATGGGAGGGGGCTGCATTCACCAGGAACGGAGGATTGGGGTGCACATGGGATGGCACATTGAGGTGCATTCACCGGGGACACCCAACCAAGATCCCCCCATTTCTGCCCCAATTTCTTCAACCTCCAGCATCCCCCAAAGGGATCCACCACCAGGGGTTGGGGGGGGGGACACAGAGTTGGGGGGGGGCTCACCCTCGACGGCACCGGTTCCAGCGGGGACGGAGAGGGGCCGCCGACCAGCCAGGAGCCGGCGCTGGTTGAGGACGTTCTCCAGGTCCTTGAGCTTCTGCTCCTCCAGGAGCGCGGCCGTCTGCCGCCGCTTGCGCAGCCTCTTGCTGATGTTCTCCTCGCGGCAGAGGCGCTGGGCGGCGCGGGCGATCTGCAGCTGCAGCGCCAGGTCCCGCTCCAGGGCGCTCAGAGGGTCCTGGGGACAGAGGGGACGCGCTCGGCACCGTCCCACCACCCGTC